TCCCGTAAAGATTTACACCCTCGGAAACCCTGTACAGGGTCGCTATGGGTCGGACCCGACTCGATGGCACTTAACAACAACAACATCAAGCCATTTATACCTGGAAATTTGTCCATTCTCTTTAATTATTCACAGTGGCAATGAGTTGAACCCAAATTGACAGCACTTGACAATAGCAACAACATTTTTTCATTATTAATACTATTTGCTCTTTAATTATTCATTTCTATGATGCAACATATCCAAAGTTTTATGACTTTAAAAATTCTTTTGAATAAGTTTAATAGTTTCAGATTTATGAAAAAGAGTACAGATTGTCCAGAAGTAGTTAATTTAAAAGAAGAATTATTAGGTAAAGTTATGTATGAGAAAACAGAAAACAAACATGGTAAGTATACAATTATCTGTTTAGTTTCTATTCAATGTTGTTGTTGTTGTTGTTAAGTGCCATCGAGTCGGTTCCAAGGCTGTAAGTCTTTACGGTGTTGCAGACCATGTAAGACTGGTGAGAGGTTCGAGGCCCTATAGGCCCGAGTGTAACAGATCTAGCCATTGGCAGTCAATGGCATATTGTTTTTCATCTTAATATTCAGTTACATGTATTAATTTAATACATGGAGCCCTTGATAATCCACAGATAAATGTGATATTTTCCTAAAGCCGAGACTAAAGGTTGCAAGGCCAAGCCTTCCTCCAAAGGATTAACTAAAAATATCTTAGCTACTTCACAGTTCTTTGTTCTACAGACAAAAAAGCCATCCTCCCTGAATCTCTCCCAACTGTTAGCTATTCAGTCAAATTCCTGAAAACCTGGCTCAGGAAGCCAAAACAGTGGGACTCCACCCAAGCTTTTGTCCTTACCTCTCACCTTCCCCCAACTGAGCTCAGGGGCTATAGATATGTTAATTGATTCTGAGAAACCAAGTTGCTGGCCTGGGATTCGAACCAGCGAAGTACGATGTAAAGTTACCTGAATATCTGGAAAAGTACTGATGTTAGCTGTACCTTGCCTAAGTCCCTCCCAGCTTGGTGTGCAGCTCCTCCCCTAAATAAAACAGAGGCCCGGGCCTCCCCAGGTGTGCATTACGGGTTGGAGGGCATGCAGTAAAGATTGCAGGGCAGTGAGTGGCTGCCTGCAGAGGCCACAATGCCTGTAGTCCCAAGCCTGCCCACCAGTGATGCATCCGCCCTGGCTTTGGGGTGCCTCATTGTCCCCCACTTTCTGTCTGTCTGTGTATATCTTTACCGCCACCAGGTATCTCCTCCTCGTGAACCAAACCCCTATGCCGAGGCCAGTCCCCGGCATTACGAGAGCAGAAAGCCTCCTCTGTCTCCCGCGGAACAGCTGGTAGTTTCAAACTGCTGACCTTGCAGTTAGCAGGCCGATTCATAACCACTACGCTGCCAGAGCTCCTTTCTATTAAATGTAAATGTGTCAAAATGATGACTTTATCATTAACTGTTATGCTACCTAAAATAATAGGAACAAAACAAACAAACAAAAATGAGTATCAAGTTAATTTCAACTCATAGAGAGTGATAGAAAACAAGGTCAGGGTAATTTGAATACTGTAGACTTCACTTAAGGAGCTCTAGGAGCATAGTGGTTACAAAGCGACTCCACGGCACACCACCGCCACCACCAGACTTCACTTTCATCAAAGTCTGAGCAATTTTAGCTTTTTTCGAGAAGAATATTAAGGAATTGTTGCTGCTGTTTGAGCAACTTTGAGGTGGTCCCTACCTATAGTGACCCTGTATAGGGTTTACGAGAAGCATGCTGGTGAGCTTGAACCACCAATCTTGCAGCTTAAACTGACTTTGCAGTCCAGCTCATTAACCCACAGTGCCACACCAGGACTCCAATTAAAGAATAATCCACCAACCAGTAAAGGAATAGTAAAACAATCAATTACGTAATTGTTATGTGCCGTGGAGTCGATTCCGACTCATAGTGACTCTGTACAGGGTTTCTG